TGGGCAACAACAACTCAACCTGTAAGAAATCGAAAGGACATAAGTACTTGTTCATTCAACTTTCCACCTATAACCCATGTTGAGCTTGCAAAAACTACAATCAAATCTGAGATTTCTCAACGACAATCAGGTGAAAGAGACAAATTTAGCCGTCTAGCTCCATCTGCTCCCATTCATTCTGCACTCATGGGCGATTGCCCCCAGTGGAACTCTGGTGGAACTGCAACCAAAATTCGGTACAATGGGACTTAATAGAGAGTGGCCAGGCTCTCCGTAGACGGGCTCTGGTAACAGGCTTCAGCTTGAAACAGGCAAATGCGTGTGTCACACGGCCAAAGCGTGAGTGTCGGCAGCTCTGCTAATGAGGTTAATCACCTTCAACTTAGGTGCACAGGTTGGTCCTTCTTGCCTTCAGCTCTCCATCCAACATGACAAATTTAGCCTTCTTTGACTTTTACAGGCAAGCTTATCCATAAATTGGCAAATCAAGTTAATTATGTATGTATGTTTCTCAACACCTAAAAATGTATTTCTTCATATTTCAGGGGTTGCTTAGCCTTGTAACTCTAATCATAGTCAACATGTTGTCCAAAAATAAATAAATAAAGAATCTGCCTACAGTAGAAATATCTAATGTCTAGTCTTAGGTTTAAATAATCTTAAGGCCTGTTTTTTATTCACTGTTAAAAGCAGGTCTCCACTGTAAGATGTGACAGCAGGTGAGTAGCATTATCTCAGAAGGAATAAAATGAGTAAACCAGCCTTTAAAGGCACATATGATAAATAATATTGAAGAGGCATGAAAGCAATAATTTTCCTCAAGATGAAAACTCTGTCAAGAATCTTTCCAAAAAATGAACAGTAAAGGTCAGTATGCTGTTAGTGCCTTGGAATATAATAGTAATAGCAATAATTATTTATAAGCTTTTCACTTGGCAAAAAGGGTTCAAAAACCCACTGAGAAAAAACCCATCAAAGAGAAAGAAGAGATACCTGTTTTGTCACGGACAGTGGCCTCAATAGACCAGCAGGCATTTCATACAAGTGTCCCAAGCCATACAACATATTCTATTTATACATCCATCTATCTATCCATCATCCAATATCTTTTGCAAGGTGGAGGGGGGCTGGAACTTATCCCAGCTGGCATCTCCAGTACATACTAATCTTTGTTCTCTAGTTAGTATTAACACACATACTTGTTTTATACTGACAGGAAAGAATGCCACGGCCAGTTAAACAAAGGGGTACAGTTTAGTATTCTACTTGAAAAGAAAAAGAGCTACATGTAGAGCAGAGAGGCACAGCAGACAGGATGAAACTCGGCTTCGACTGAATTTACACAAAATCCAGCAATGTGGGTCCTTCCTGCAGGGTTGTGCGGAGGAGGGCCATGTTTATTTGTGCTTTAGAATGTTACTGCTGTGAAGCAATCCGAAAATAACGTTTTATTTCTCTGATCCACTTCTTTGTTCTTGCTAACACCGCTTCCTCTCTTCATTATTCTATAGCTTGCTTGACCTCCGCTGCCCTTGCTCTCTGTCTCTGTTTCTCTCTGCATGGGGCCAACTTTGAATCCTGTGTACAAACAGCAGCCGGCAAATCCTTCTCATTCCACCTTAAAATCTAACTCATTTAATAAGATGAATCACTTTATTCAAGTTGAGGACTTTGACATAAAACATAAAATATGATGACATTCGGTACAGGCTTATAAACCAGTAAGGGAAGTAGAAGAAGGTGATGTAGGATGATTATGATAACGATTAAAATTACACAGTGAATTACAACAATTTATCAATAAAAATAACTGATGTATATAACATTTGTGCTGCGACTGGCAGTAAGAAGGTGAGAAGAGGGAAAAGAGCAAGAGAGATGAAGAACAATGCAACGGAGGTTTAGAGTTTAGAGAGAATAAAGGAAGACAATTTGAGACGAGAGGCATCAAAGAGGTAAAGTGAAGCCAGAAGGAGAGTTGAGAGGAGGAGGTTTTGTGGGGAGGACAGGCAGGAGAATAGTTGAGGTGAACAGCGAAAAAGGACAGATCAGACGGGGTTAAGAGCGCTAGAGTGGAAGAAAATGGTTTCTAAGTAAGGATTAGAAATAGATAAGAATTAGAAAGATGAGAATTTATTTTGAAAGGACAGGAAAGGATGACGAATGAAATTAATGGAGAAAGGCAGTAAGGGGCAACGGAGATAACTAAATAAATAGGAGAAGACGAAGGACAGAGGAGGAGGAGGAGAGGAGCGGCTGGCGAATTGACATGATGTCTGTTGGACGTGAATCAAAGCAACGACAGGAAGCCTTTGACCACCAAACGCAGCATGGAGCATGTTTGTGTGCTCTGCTTGTGTGTGTGTGTGTGTGTGTGTTTGTGTGTGTGTGTGTGTGTGTGTGTGTGTGTGTGTGTGTGTGTGCGTATGTGTGTCTTTATAAAAAATTATAAAAGAGCCGAGGCCTGAGCAGCTTTGAAAAGGCCGACTCGGCACTGTCACTTTGTTCTTCCAACAAAATGATGATAATAGTCCTCCTTAGACAGACGCGCGCGCGCACACACACACACACACACACACACACACACACACACACACACACACACACACACACACACCATTCCATATAATTTGGGCACTTGCTGTGATGTGGGTCTCCATGGAAACGGCAACAACTTAGTGCTGGCTGATGTATAATGACAGTGAGCATTGCACCTGAGGTGAAAAAGAGGGAGAGTGGGGGGAGGGAAAGAGAAACAGAGGGAGAAAAAAAGAGAAAGGGGAGATCACAGCAGACCTTAGAAATAAGATGAATCCTTGGTAAGACTTAACATGTTGCAGATAAAATTACATCTAAATTCTTAAATAAGACCCTTGGCTTTAAGTTATTGTAATTTTGTTGCAAACCTCTTGGTGTCAGCCTTTCCTGGAGCACATACCAAACCCAAATCCATTAAGACACATGAAATTTATATCCTGCTACATTTGCATAACAATTCATCCCTGTTATGATACTCTGAATTTCTAAATTATGTGAAAAAGCAGTTATTCAACCTCCAGCCAGAATTAAGTGACATCTTTTAGTACTACACGTTCAGGGGGTTTTGAAGAAAATTACATTATTTTAAAATGTTTTATTTATTTATTTTTTTTACATTTTTGCTTTGTTGAACCAAGAGTTGGCAGTTAATTGTCAGTGATAGTGATGGCTCTGTTTACTGAGGGAAGACTAGAAAGTATAGAAGAATAGAAAAGAGAACACAGAGTTTGAAGATTAATACTGTGAAGTTGAAATATTTCAACTGTACATACAGTGTGTTTTTTAATGTCTTGGAACAACACTGATGAGATTGGAAATGAACCAAAACAGTAGAGTTGTGGGCTATAAAATCAAAACAATGTGCTGAAAGATGCTAAAATGCACCATAGCTTTATAACCTTGAAGGCGTTTCGGGCAAAAGATTTCTTGTAGATATTTCTATTAGCCATCTGTAATCTATGACGTCTCCCTGAAGGTAAAAGCTCAGGTTCACTGTGCAGTGGCTGAGAGGGGTCGTTAATAATTCTGTTAGCCTTCTGTTAGAGTTCATCATACATCATACATAGTATTTCTTTGCTTTTGTGGCTTTCAAGTAACTTTGGACGCCATGTTTAATATTTCCTGCAGCTTATTCCTTCTCTCAATGTTCTAATCTAGTGGAAATGACTGCTAACATGAGGAAGCTGTGCAAATTCTTGGAGTGACATACAAACTTGAAGGAGAACTCGGTTGGGGCTGAAGACAGTCAGACAATGAAAACTGCCTGGAGGCGTGGAGTTCTAAAGAAGTGAGCTTACCAGACCTCTGTAGCCCTCTCCTGATCTCTGCTTAAGGCTAAAGCCTTTTGGCTACATTAGCATGTACTAGCATAACACACCTGAATCTCCAACAGTCTGCAGTCGAGTTGCCTTGTGGGTAATGAAGGCATTAGGTTTTAAAAATATATTGGCTTTGAATCAATATATGCACAGAATAAAGTTATAAAATGCAGATATGTATGCAGCATTGTCACCGAAATGTATTTTAATGAGATACCAACTTTCTACAACTATCTTTATAATTTTAGCTTAACAAGTTCCTTATCCATTTTAACACATACTGTGTGTTGTTAATGTGTAACAACTATAGCTGCAGACAAAAGCTTTTTCAGGAAAATACTGATTATTGTAATGATACTCAGATGCTATTTTAGTGTGTTTATGACAAGAGGGGAAGTCATGAGGATTCTTCATCACATTGCTGTAGGAGGTGTGATCTTGGCTTTGGTGTCTTTACATGCTTGTGTATACGAGCTCTCAGTGCACGTGACTGAGTCGATAAGTTCACTCCACTCCCAAAGCTCCAGCTCTACGAGTGTCAAACCTGCCCTGGAAATGATATGTGTTTATAGCAACATGTTTTCCTTTTAGAAGACAAGTCTTCGCCGATTAGAGGTGTGATGAGTCCACATTCATAATCTTGAAGTGTCAAATTTTAATGATGTGTAGGTGTCCACTATGGAAGCAAATAATGCTGTGGAAGCAATGGAGCAATTGAGCTGATGGTTGTCAGAGTAAAATAAAATGAGTTTCAGTGACCACCACACTACTACAGACCCACAGGGGACGTGATTGAATTGTCTGCTCACGATGACATTACTCCACTATATCTTTACATAGCAAATAGTTGTTTCCTGCTATATTAATGTTCAATATCTCATACACAACCTTTAAATGTACAGTAAACTTTAAGTGTTTAGTAGTAATTGATGTAACAAATTGGGTATTCAGTTGGTCATACTGCAAGAATCTGATTTTTATGGCCTTTATTTGCTTCCATAGTCCACTTCAGAAAAAGACAGGAACACAACTGTATCAGTCTTTGTTTGTTTCCACTTGTTTTCCAAACTGAACAGACTTGGCAGAGGCTGAATAGGAAACATAATTGCTGTCATCCCTAATGTGTTACTTTCCATTTTGCAGGTAATGAACCGGCGCCGTTGGGCACGGTGGAGAGCTACAACCCGGTGAAGCGGCGCTGGGAGTATGTGGCACCCATGCCCACTGCACGCTGCTCCTCTGCCCTCGTGCAGACAACCAGCATGCTCTTCGTGATCGGCGGAGTTGCACAGGGACCCAGTAATGCTGTGGAAACCCTGTGTTTACCGGAAACAGTGTGACACATGCACACACACCAACACACACAGGAATAATTGCAAACCGGCAGTGATATTTTATTCATGTATGTGCATAAACACAGACAAAAACACATGACTTGGATCCACAGATCACTTAGATACTTTTCTACCTTTATGTCCAACTGATGGATTACTCTTGTACACTGGGATGTAAGAAACTCTTTTTCACATTCAACAAGCATTTTCAAACGGGGGCTGCAGAGACAGTTTGGGACAGAGTTGGACAAATACAAGATGAAGGACATTCAATGACTGCTGACAGCTTTTTTTATACTGGGGAAATCAGAGGAAGACAAAAAAAAAGAGCAAAAAACAGACACACACACACGGTGTCTAAAGAAACAACACGCCTTTGAACTGTTGAGCATTTTTCAGAATAAAAGCAGGGTACTTTTCTGGATATTTAAGGAACATAGGGCCATATCTGTATCTCTTACAGCAGCATCGCTCTCCCCTACTGCTGAAAAGCAAGCTCGGACACTTTTCTATGACCTTAGACACAACACATAGTTAAGTTTTAGACAGTGACGTTCTGGGAATGTGAATGTTTCGTTTCCTCTCCTTATGTTGAAGTGTTATATATGTGTGGAAACCGCTACCACAGTGTTGACAACAGTGGCCCTTAACATGCGTTCAGACTGCAAGCAACTCAAGTCAGAATCCATTTTCAACGACCAGTGAAACGGTGGCTGATGTTGACCACAGTCACTGTGTTTCCTTTATTTCCAGTTGTAGAAAAAGTTGACTGTGGTTGAACTTGTGCGCACCTTGCTCTGCTACACATCTATCCAGCTCTGTTTCAACATTAGCAGCACAGCAATCAATCACCAAGCTCAAACAGTCCTTCACACTGTAGCACAGGGATGTAGTTGCTCGTGGAGTGAATGCAAAGTTACTCATACCTGCTGCACTGAAGCATCCAGACAGACAAATAATAATCTGAACATCAGCTTCCTGACATATTATATTCCCCCTGAGTTTTATGATTGATAGCATTTTATTCTTTACCTCCGCTTGATGTCAGTCAGATGATGGATAAAATGGGAAGAGCATCTTAAGGTGATGATACCTGGGCAACATTTTGAAGCAATTTGGTTACTCACTAGGTTGCATTTATGGTTTTATTGACTCAGTGTTTTCCATTTTTGGCAGAGTAGTGAAAGGGATCTGAATTAGCCTGTTTTTGTGTAACCCTAGCGTAATGTAGGCTACCATGATCATAAGTGCATTCTATTTGCACAACCTTAATGGTAGAGCTAGCCCTGGCTTTTGAGTATAAAATAAGTGTAGGCTTAAAATGAGACTGAAAAGATTGTAGCTTGTTAAGAAAGGGAGCTGAATTTACCCCCCAAAGCAAAACATATCAAAAGGTCCAAAGATTCACTCATGCAGCATATTCCACTTCTCTACCATTGGTTCAGTATGTCCCAAACAAGTGTCACTTTGCCAAAAGATTGATAACTACGCTACTTCCAGCAGAGTTTTGAAGTGATACAGAAGTAGTGAACTTAGCTGCTAGGGAAGTTGAAAAATCTAATTAATTCCAAATTACATATTACTCATTAAAAAAGTTATATTACTAATTATTCAACAACAAAAGTAATTCTTTCTGTATGAAGGTTTTTATAGTTAATTAAAACTATAAAAGGCACAGTGTGTAGGATTTAGTGGCATCTAGTGATGTAATTGCAGATCGCAACTGTATCACTTAACCCTCCTTTTCCAAGTGCAAAGGAGAAACTACGGTGGCCGTGAAACACTTGAAAAATACAGAGCCAGTGTTTGGTTTGTCCATTCTGGGTTACTGTGGAAACATGGTGGTTCAACATGGTGGATTCCATGGAAGGTGATACAACGGTATCTATAGATAAAAACGGCTCATTCTAAGGTTACTAAAACCCAATGATTTGTATTTTCAGGAGATTATACAGTAATGAAAACATACCTATTAATATTATATTCCATTTCTGACAATAGATCCTTCTAAATGTTAAACACTGGACCTTAAACCGTAATAAAAATAAAAACTTGACTATAACAATTACAAAACAACAAAATAGTAACTCTAGTCAGTATTTACCATGTCGACATAAAAAACGAATATTATGGTTTTACTGACCATCAATAGCGAGCTATGTCCTGTTCCTGGTATGAAGCTGCTGTAAACACATTCTCTGGCAATGAACAAGCTAACGTTAGCTAGTCAACAAAGAAGACACAACACATAAATAAGACATCTTTGGACTTACTGGGTGGCGCATTTAATCTTTTGATAAACGCTAGCTCCTTTCCAACACATCCAGCTCCTGTGCCGAGCTAACATGTCCTGTAACTGTCCTTCCACTGAAGGCAACCGTCCATCAAACACTTGTACTATATAAAGTTACTTGGAACATCTATTTTTAATGGTTTTTAAAGGTCTCTCCGTGTTACACAAGTATTACGCTATATCTCCAGTTTGTTTCACTATGGAGAAAATGGGGGGAGCGCATTGTTTCAGGTAAGACGTGTCCTTGAAGTAAGGGGTGTTTTCTTGCCTTTAGAAACCCTGAGACGATTGGTAGGCAGTGAGATCTCCGACAGCTCTACTGACTTAGATAGATATGACTTAACAGCTGCTACAAACTTTTCAGAGCCGCCTTTCAATCCTACTGTGGGGGGAGCAGTTGATACTCAAAACGCAGACTTTTGGTGGAGATTCAGCTCAGGCTGAGGTGAGGCTTGTGTACAAGAAAAGATGGATGGAGCTACAGGGGAGAACGTTTTGTGACAGATTCAGTGACCTGTGGATAGCAGACGAGGTCGGGCAGGAAGCAAAGGAATTACCCAGTGCAGCGTGTACCAGCTTGTGTTGGTCTCTCTTATCCTGTCATATTGGTAGCATTTTTGAATGAGCACTTGAAGAGCCAGTCACCAGGCTCTCCATTCAGAATTAATTTACAGTAACACAGTAGTCAGTTGTGGCTCAGCTGGTTTGATGGTGGTTCAGCCCAAGAATTATGGGCTCCAGGCTAAATTAAAACCTTTTATTGAGACAATAGAGAGTAAACTTCAAAAAGATTGAATCTGTTCAGCATATGAAAGCAATTTATCCATTCCAACCAAAGAAGTTGATGCACTTTGTCTTACTTTTACTCAAATTTGCATTAGAGATTAGATGATTGGTCTACCGGATTATTTGCCCTATACCTCTTCCTGCCTGGAGAATACAAGTAATGGCCTTGCCACGGTACAATTTCAAGTTTCTTTTCATTTCAACTTTCAGTTTAAATGATAATGGACTATTTTACCGCACTAACACACAGAAAGTGGAAATACACCCCTGCATCCCAACGGCACGGTGCACCATTTAGAGACAATATTCATTTGCTACATCCAAACTGTTTAAAATGTTTCAGTTGCATGAGAAATAGCATGCTAATGGAATTTAACCGCTATCTCCCTGAAAACTCTATTTAAAGAGACTTGTATGAAATCATACTTACAGAGAGGGGAGAGAAAAAAACTTTAAATGAGCTAGAGTCACGGATAAATACCAGACAAGCAGAGAGAGTTATCTCTGGTCCACAAATTAGCATGGTTTCCTACACACACAAATACACACACGTCCTTTTCACTATTTTGCCCTCCTTCATATATTTTTCTGGCCTGCACCCTGGCCTTGTTAACAGAGCCTGACATCTATTGCTGTGAGAGAGCACTAAAGCTGCTGGAGCTCAGATGTGATGCCAGTTGACAGTTGGTTATTTCTGGTGCTGCATTGTGTGCACCTAATGGAGTGTGTTAGGTACAAGCCGCACACTCATCACATATGTACACATGCACTCACACAAACACACACACCCCTGCCAGTATGCAGAGCCGAGCACAGAACTACGAGGCTCCATGCATGCCTGCACGAATGCAGTTAGTCACTAACTCACTCACATAGTTTATCTGGCAACAATCACAAAAGCTTGGAGAGAATACAGAGGAGATCATTTTGTCAGTAAACAGCTCTGCTGGTTGGGGACCGTGGCCCTCCATCCAGGACTGATTAACCTACTTAAATCAAGTTGAGTGTGTGTTTGTGAGAAAGCTTGTGTATTTTTGTCATCAGAAGTGGATAAGGTTTATTAAATGTGGCCAATGTATTTGCATTCAACTTACTCATGCAGCCCAAACACCTAAACAGTTTAATTTTTTTGTTCAGTTTTGGTTTAAATCTCTGAAAAAAAAAAAAAAAGGTTATTAACTTGCTAGATGTTCAATTGGCTAACATCTTATCTGCTGTTCGGTGCTGGGCGGGTAGTGTACAGTGGGTTTACAAGAGCTTTTACACTGAAAGCAGCTGTCTGCTCCTGCTGGAAACTTTGAACTTGGAAAATTTGTTAAGAATTTGCAGGCTATAACCAAAACAATGAACTAAAAGAGGCTAAGAAGTAGGGTAGTAGAAGTAGAGTCTGGTTATAATTTACCCTTCTTAACACCTACCACTTCCTGCTCTGTGCTCCAATAAGCAAACAAGCCTCAGTCAGAGCCTCTGTCAGCCTCCTCCTTTGCTGTACTTAGATATGCTATGTGCTAGACTCATCTATGTCGAAAAGACCAAAACCTTTGCAACCAACTGAACTCTTATCCATCATTGATTTAAAACGATATTTATTAATGCAGCTTTAAGGCGTGCTCTCCTGTGTGTGCCTGGGCTTGTATGTCTACATTCGTGAGTGTATGTGCATTTGTGTAATTGTGATTGTGTGTGTGTGTGTGTGTGTGTGTGTGTGTGTGTGTGTGTGTGTGTGTGCGTGTGTGTGTGTGTGCGTCCGTGCGTCCGTGCGTGCGTGCGTGCGTGCGTGCGTGCACTAAGACACACTCACCATCTATTATAGTGTGAACTGTCTGGAGAATGTACAATGTCTCCTTTGCAGTTTCTCTGGCTCTTCGATACAGTTTACATGCCACACTGCAGTCCTCAAGGAATTCTGGGACGTTGCCAGAGCTAGCTCTCTCTTTTGGTTGTCTAGTTTGTTTAGTTTCTTCCTTTTTTTAACTTTTTTCGCTCACTTTCTCTCCGACCATGTCAGTGTCAGTTAGAGAAGATGCTTCATGAATCCATAAAATTCTCTTTCAATAGAAAAGATGCCTCATAAATCTGTTTTTCTGGCTCCTGATGTGACGTACGTGTCAGACTGTTTACTCATTGGAGTGAAATCCCTCTGCTGCTTCTGACAGCAGGTTGAGGAACACAGAACAAAAGAGCAGGATGCTTCAGTACAGGTAGCATTTAATTACATGCTGTAAGTTTTTTAGCAGGCCATGAGCGGATGATGCACAAGCATATGTAAATGTATTTTTACAAGACTAGTTGAAAGCCAAAATGTATTGTGGACCTGCTTCCCATGACAAGAGCATTAATATAGTTTCTGGGTGAAATTTTTCAAACTGAGTCTGAAAATCTGCAGAACCTGAGGCGCAGGGCAATTTTACAGTGCCCTAAAATGATTACACAAGTTTTTAATACCCTCTTCCATAGAGCAATGTCGACAGCACTCATATTGAGGCACGTTTTTATTATCTGGAGCCAACAGACTAGACTTGCATTGCCCCAAAAAGTTGCCTTGTGTATCAATACCTCTCAAACATTTGTAGTTCCATATATGTACCCGCTCGTCCAAGACACATTCAGGGCTGTGTTTTAGTGCAGGCACACTGTGCATGGCAGGTTCTGTGCCTTGATTCACAAAAATAAGGCCCACAGACTCAGGTTCTGAAAAACAATGGGGGTGCATTCAGCACAGGGCAGGGACGGGGGTGGACGATGCTGAATTTACTGTTTTCAGTGTTGTGAATCCAATGCATTACTGTGTCTTATTTTTGACAATGAAAAGCGTCTACTTTTTTTTTTGCGGGCCAACTTGAGCACAGTTTCCTGGGCAACAGGGAATAGTGTCAACACCCGCAGGTAGCATAAATGTGCTCCTCTTACATCAGCATACCCATGTGTTCTTGTTGTTTTTGTTTCCTATTTGGGCTTGTAGAAATATATCAAAAATCCTGTTGATTATGGTTGATTAGGTAATCCAGATTAGATATAATGCTATTTCTTGGGTTATTTTGTTCAGGTTTGCTCATTATTTTGCCCTCCAGTTGTCTGTGTTGTGGATTGAGGTTGTGCGGTGACAGATGTGTTGTGATGTTGTCCAGGTCGGAGCTAGGTTCCCCAAAGTGTTTGTCACTAGTTATGTGTTCTTGCAAATCTTCGCTTGTGCCAATGTTGCATCAAATATTTTTTTAATAGAAGTATATCCATAACTTTTTTTTTCACCGTGTTGTTCAGATGAGATGCATAGGACACAGTTTGTGTCATACTAGGAATGAGGATATATGTAATGCTAGAAAGGCAACAAGCAACAAGCTGGCATATTTTATTTGTCTTTCAATATGCCGAGTGGTATATATTTAATATATCAGATGATCAAATGGCCATCGGCAGAACAAAAAAATACACAATAATAACTTTTTGATTCTGTGACGTAACTAAGAGATCTTCAAAAAATCACTATCTCAAAACCCACGCAGCTCGAGAACCACCGGCCTTTAGTGCAGTCTAACTGCTGAATAAAACTAGTTTGTACAGACATTTTGGGAAACATAAACCCAGAATCCCTCTCCTGTTCTGATCTCTCTCGCTGTACTGTGCTGTTTCCCTACAGTGATTGACATGGTAGAAACCTGGTGAACTGCTTTGTGGTCTCAGTGGATCAGTATCGCCATGTGCTCTGTATGTGCAAATGTGATTTGGGACGTTTACTGAACTTAATGAAATGTACAGAAGGTGAAAGCAAAGTGGGGAGGTGTGAGGCAGTGTGTGTGAAACACTTAAAAGTTAAATATAACCTTATTTATGTTCCAATCCTTTAAAATTTGTAATTTATCCCTATAATGACTGTGTAAACATTTAGTCGTAGACACATGTGCATAAGCCCTTTCAGCCAAATACACACAGAAACTTCTGCCACTTTAAACTATGCACTGACAGTAAATCAAGCCCATACAGCATGACTTCACCCAAGTGACACTAACGATGGCGAGAGTCAGATATGACCCAAATTTAACAGTAATGATAACATATATAGTCCTACATATATAGATACATATATTCAACATAACTATAAATAATAGAAACAAATAAATACATAAATATACATTTATTTTTACAGTTTTGCACAATGATATATGGGTCATGTTCCCTGAGACAAATACAATTCTGTTTAACTCTAGATTCTGAGTTGCTCTACAACATTTCTGAACATTTAAAGGGGCACTCCACCAATTTTACACATGGAGATCGGTTATTTCTCATGAGGAGTAACACCAAGCCCGTGACAACAGTTGGGAAATGTCTTCATAATGTCCTTTGTGGCTTTGGAAGGCACAACCTTGCTGATGTCATCAGGGTTTTTTTGGTTTGGGGTTGAGAAATAAAGCCTGTGTTCCAAACTCGGGGCATAGAGATTGAGAAACATGGGCATTTACCCGACAGAGATAGTCTACTGATAAACTACTGAGTCATTATAACATAATTTATGCTACTTGATAATCCTTCTAAGAACAAACAAGATTAGGCTACTGCCTGTTTACAGGAGGAGTGTTTACTTTTCATTACCGCTCACACAGACAAAGAGAGTGAAATAAGAAGGGATATGCCAGCATTACTTTTGTTATTATAATTCGTGTTATAATAATAATAGTAATCAGAATAATATTTGTTGTGGTTGTTGTGATAGATTAATGTTACACTGCAGTGTTTTTTTAAACTGTTGGTTGGGTTGAGACGTGCAAAACAGAACAAAAAGTGTATTAGGGTGTATTAAAGAGTCCAGGGCAACGCAAGACTGAATAAGTTTAAGACTGGTAGGATGACGTACACATGGGAAGGCTGCCTCCCCTTACCAAAGCCTGCCAGGCACATACCAATCATAATGAAAGAGTTTTCAAAATGGTAAGAAGGGTTAATGTTGGGTTAACGTTTCATAAAAATCTGGATTTATTCAGTGCCAGTGATACATATTTGGTTAATAACTTAATAATGAGTTAAGCTTTCCATCATATTAATAATAATAAGGCCACACCTTGAAGGGGAAACGTAAATAGCCTCCTCTCAACATGTATTCAGATGACGTGCTTTGGTGCGAGTAGATCCCCATCAGATCACTTAATTTAGCATTTATGTAATATTTCAGAGTCTTGATTTGGCCAGAGGGTCATTTAGGGTGAGGACATATTGTACGTGCAGCTGTAGTCAACGTGGCTGGCAGGCTTTGGTTTTCAGACCGAGTCGTGGCTGTGACTCCAGTGCAGTAGTTCAGTGCCTATACTAAATGTGAGGTAGTGCCTCGACTATGAATCCTGTTCTATAATAAACTATTTTGACTTGCTGTCTGATTCCATATGTCCTGTGTACTCTTTTTTTTCTTTCCCCCTGTCTCCTGACTCCAGCACCTTCTCCATGGGGAATAAATTGGAGAAGAAAAAGACCAAAGATAATGACAGGAAAGAGCAACATAACAGCATCTATTTCCAAGTGCCTATTTCCATGCTGGTCTCTTACAAGGGACTGTCATCAGAAAAATGTCACCTGATCCATAATAGATGAAGCTGACATCAAAACCTACTTCAAACGCAGTGTATGAATGGAGTGCTCCTATAGAGAAAGAAAGAAATTAGAATGCGCATTTCTTTTCTTACTGTGGTAATAACTGGATGTATGACTCCATGGTCAGATGCTTCTCTAAATGAATCTCCTCTTTATTTCACACTCTCCAAGGGAACAGTCTGTCACACAGAATACGTGTCACATTAAACACAAGCTGCAGTCCTCAGGAAACAGCCGCTTACATTATGATGATTTGAGTCAGATGACGCTTTCCTGCATCTTTAGATGATCGCAAAGCATTTCAGCATATTAAGTGGCGAATAATTGGCCACAAATGAACTTGAGCCTCCAGTGAATATTCACCAAGATTGGGTTGGGCATTGCTTTTTTGTTCTAGTTGAAGTTTGACTGCAGATAAAGGCTCATTCTGGCATCATATGAACTTCTTGAAGTGAAAAACGGGAAGGCAAAGAGGCATTAATTGACCCTTCACCAAGCCCTGTCCCCCTTGGTTATTGTTGCTATGCCTGTCAAGCTTTCCATTCTTGCTTGGCACATTATGCAGTTTATAATCATAGTGGTGCTGGAGTTACAAATCAAACAATGTCCATGATTTTTGAGACTATGGTTCCGTGATTTCATACAGTGGTAGACAAAAGCAGGATTCTCATTTTGCCAGCTGAATCGTTTTAGTCAACTGTAGATAATTAGCTCATTAGCTGGTTGGTTGGTAATGTTTCCAGCTGTCTGGCTTTTTTAATATATTTTTGGGACTTTTTGCCTTTATTGGACAGGGAGGCTGAAGAACGACAGGAGAGGGGGGAGAGAGAGGGGAAGACACGCAGCAAAGGGCCACAGGTCAGGCCTTTATACATGACCTCTGTAGCAAGGACCCGGCCCCGGCACATGGGGCATCAGCTCCACACAGCGAGCCATAAGATGCCGCCAGCTGTCCTGCTTTAAAATCTAAATCTTGTAAATAGGGTCTTAGGTGTTCATTCATAGGATTTAGTGACATCTGGCAGTGAAGTTGCAGATTGCAATCAACTGAATACAGTTTGCCTCCAAGCGTGTAGGAGAAACTACGGGTGGCTGCGAAACTCACGAAAAACATGAAAGTCCCTATCTACAGCTGGTGTTTGGTTTGTCTGTCCTACGCTACTGTAGAAACATTCACATGGCGAACTCCATAGAAGAGGACTCACTCCCTCTGAAAACGGCTCATTCTAAGGTAACGAAAAAACAACAATTATTATTTTCAGGTGGTTACACTGATAAAAACCATAGACTGTGTAATTAACAACGGATGTAGTCTCTGTGACATCACCCACTGGTTTCTGGAGAGCCACAGTGAAGCTCAAAATGGGCAAATACCATGGATGTACTTTGTACTGTTGGCTTCATTTGTGAGCCACAGACGTTGAATGAAAAGTATTCTATCCTATTTCTGCCAGTTGGATCCTCCCAAACGTTACCTTTAATGTCTGCATACATGGCATGGTGCTGAGAGACTAAGGCTAAAGCTGCATGTCCTTACCACATTCAGGAGGAGGAGTCAGAATCCTCACCACGTTTGAAGACGTCGCTTTGGACTGAAATATGGTAGGATTATTTATTTATTTTTTTGCTTTTTCCTTTTTTATACAGACAAAATGATGAATCTGTTCATAAAAAGAATCAACAGATTGATCAATGAAAAAAATGTGGTTTAGCAAACATTAATTTGAGGAAGACACTGCAGTGGGGGGGGGAATCCAATGTTGAAAAACACATTTGCAGTATAAAATCCATTTTCCCTCAGCCATCTTGAATACTGAGCAGATTAGGTGACAGTGACAGCAGAGAGGAAAGAGTAGAAAAGAAACGCCCCCGCAGAAACTGCTGAACCATTGTTAGACCAAATTGACTTGAAGGGCAAAGCAATTAAACTGATGAACACTACTCTCCAGAGACTTTCAGCTGGCATGTGTTGCACTGCTTCTTAGAGGAAATATTTCCCAAGCAGGACTTGGCCTTGTGTTAGCTTAAGTCAGATGTAACATTAGACCATACAATGAGAGCTACACAGATGATTAGTGATAATTAATCAAAGATTAATGATAATCCTATCAGCTCTTTCACACAGGCAGTCCCTGGTCTCTGGTCTGGCACAGATTCATAATTAGCATTATTCCAATTATGTCATGTAATGCAACGATAAACGTGAAGATGCTTATTTAGATTTTAACAGGGCAGACGGGAGATGAATAATGCAGAAAAATAATGGGGAACACAAGCCGGTTATGAGTTTGGTGTGTAAATAATAGTGTCACATTAAACAGCTCGCTAATATCTTTTGTCTCGGTTCCAATTTTTAAAGGCTGATGAACAAGAATAATGAGGGTTCTTTCTCATGGGACACATGCACACTCACTTCTGTAGCTGTCTGGCTACTGTAACCTTATTTTTTGCCCAGGAAGAGAAAAGAAAACAGATAAACACCAGGAAATCATGACTCTGGGTGTGATGAACATGCTGGCAGAGTGTGAAATTCTTTCATCCAAGACATGTTGTTATTCTTTCCCTGCAACCCACGGCATCATGAAGCTATTTGTAACCTCTCTGTGGTACAAAGCCTGACTGTTATGTTTTGTTTAGCCTGGTATACTCAGATAGCAACCAGCACATAACACATCACATACTAGACAGATTGTACGAGGCACCCTGAAATATGCATGTGCATATATTCATGTCTGTGTGCATAAACCAACCTAATATACATTAATCAACTTGGAATGCCAATATTGTATACAACAACATGACATATTCAGTCATCCGGTATGATTTGTATACAGTGTTTTCAGCACAAATGCTGCTAATCAACACCTTAGAGATTAAGATAAATTGTTCAACTTTAACCCTTTAATGTTTTTCTCCACCATTTAGTAGAGCACAAGTTGTGATACCTTGGAAAAATGACATGTACCTAAAGAATAGGATCAAATGTTTTCAATGTGTCTTAAAGCCATACTCATATACCCATATGTACATTGAAATATCTTTAGGTTGCTCTAACACTGGCTGTGAAGAGATACCTTTAGATACCTTAAATTGTTGTAATGAATGTAAGTGATGGAGGACAAAACCAACAATTCTCGTTCTCAGTATTCTGAGAATCTGGTATGGTTTCAGCGGTCTGAGTTAAAGCTGCATTAGGTCATTTTTATAAATATAATTTTTTGGCATATTTACTGAAACTTTTACTATATCCTATATAAAAATCAGGTTCTTCTGACTCCTCTTAGTGCTCCTAATGGCAAGAATCCTAAAAATGGAATGTGTAGAAAAAAATTGAACAATGTGATTGTATACAAAAGGCTGGATTAAATTGATAAAGGGAAGACTAGAAGTTTAACAAAAAAAGAAAAAAGCTATATTACATCATATTTCTGTCATAATGTTGCAGGCCAGAGGGAGGCGGGCTGGCAGTTTGAGCTCCCTGCTTTGTTCAATAGAGACTGAGGACTTTGTCTCAGCTTTCATTGCTAAAACTGGGTGAAAACAGAGAGTTTCTGCATTGCAGAACTAATCCAAAGTCTTCTGGGCGGTGACAAGTCGTGCTTGTAAACACTGTTGTATCATAACGTTGCTCGGTAAATCCGTTTTCAATGTTTTAAAAAGCTCTCTCCATGTTACAAAGTGAGTAGATACACACATATATACAAGAGAAGCATTGTGTCAGGAAAGGCGTGTCCTGGAAGTAAGTGGCGTTTTTTAGCAGCTGGTCTCGCCGCCATTCAAGCAGCGAATACGCATTTAGAAAGAGACGATTGGTAGGCGCCAAGATCGCTGATCGTCTGGTATCCCGAGACTAAATGTTCCCTAGCTCAATATTCCCTTAATATAAAGACACTTCTGTCTTCCTATTGATCAAAAAGACAAATATATAAAAAAGTATATGTACATGATTATTGATTTAAAATGATCATTATTCGAAGTATTCTCTCTACAGTGTAACCCAATTCGTCCAAGTGGCCTATTTTATGCTCTGAATTTTATCTGTATTGGACATCTTCACTCAAATTATTTATGCAGTTCTCTCTCTTCGTAAACAATTAGGCCAGCTACACTGAACATTTGCTTTCCTTAATAAAGGTGTCTTTGTAATAATCTTTGTTATCCAGTTGAGCTAATTAAATGACCTCAAATGATTATCATGGGTGCTGGTGAGAAAGAAAAATTGTGTCTCATGTCCAGGTTGTGCCACACAACATCAGTGAGGCAAACCACCTGCAGCAAAGTCACCATATAAATAGCAATAATAATATAATATCTCACTGGAGACAAATCTAAAATGTCAATAAAATAAATAATATCCCTGCGCTGAGCTGCTGTAAAACGTAGCGGCGGTGATGAGAGACTGCCGACAGAGCAGATTATATCGCTTTTCTATATGTTTACATGTTTATCCTTGTTGAACAGGTGTATTGATAAAGTATTGTTTGTTGTTTGTTTGTTATTCATAAAGGTTTTATTCTCTCTTACAGTAATGTGTGCAGCTGTCGCCAAGTCCCAAAGTTATCTTATCCGATACCAGTATTGGGTCCGACACTGCTCAACTATTGCACCCGATATCACTTTACAGCAGCGTGACCATACGTAACTCATTGGTTCCCACCCTTTTTCATTAAGGGACCCATTTCTATCAGTGAGTAAACTGACAACTCCTGACTGATAAACTGGATCTTAAATAATAATCTAAACATTAAAAATAACAATAAACAAAAATACAAAAATTAGCAACAACAATAAAAA